GGTGTGCCTGGCAGAGCCTTCCCCGGTGGAGGGACGGAGGCTGCTCTCCGGGTAATGGTGGTGGCTGGCTCGGCTCAAGGGGTGGCCCCCTTCAGAGCGGTGGCCTGGGGCAGCCCCCTCGGCAGGGGAAAGGAGGCGCCCACTCCCTCCCTGCTGGCTTTCCTCCCTTGGTGGTGGCAGGTGGCTCCTATCCTGACGACCATCGGGATCCTGGAGGAGCCCCTGGGCAATGCTCGTCTTCATGGCGCCCGCTTGGTCGCCGCCCTTCTTCACACCAACACGCCCAGCATTAACCAGGAGCTGTGCCGGCTTAACACCATGGACCTGCTGCTGGTGAGTGGGTGGGTGGGTGGGGGGCTAGGCCTGCCCCCGGGGCACCTGGAAAGTGGGTTGTCCAGGGATAAGACGTCGGTAGGCCTTTGTCTTCATACCGGAGAAAGGCATGTGTGGGTGTGTTACTGGCTTGATGGCAGATGACCAACCCAACGTTGGTCTGTTTCTGCAAGTGCCAGTCTTTGGGGAGGCTGAAGCGTGCAAAGGAGGCTCCGTGTGCCTCCATTGCCCTGGGAGTTTTGATGGCTGAGGACTGACAGGGTGCCTTGTTTCAGGACCTGTTTTTCAAATACACTTGGAATAACTTCTTGCACTTCCAAGTGGAGCTCTGTGTCACAGCCATCCTGATGCACTCAGTGCCTGGAAGCAAGCTGCTCGCGGAAAACAATGAGGGGACGGATGGAAACGTCTCCTGGGAAAATGCTGAAGCGCCAGAGAACCTCACACTGACTCACGTAAGCGTCCTCGGGCATCGACGGAGCCTCCGGAAGGGAGGTGGCAGCCGCCGCCACGGAAACCAACCGTGCCCCAAGGAGGGGGCTGTTTGGACCCTCAGCCATTGGCAAAGAGCAACCGGTGCTTCTTGGCAGCGTCTTCCTCCCCGCCCTCCTTTCCTGTGGGAGCCGGAGTCAGGGCCCTGGTTCCCCGCCAGGGGGGATTAGATGGCCGCCCTCCTCCTCCTCAGGCAGCCCTTGGGCTTCATGTGGCAGCCCCATCTTTGTGGGTGACGATGAAGGCAGGCAAAGCAAGGCCAAGGATAAGGGCAGTGCTGAAGCTTCCCTCTGCCTTGGCATGAGAAGGTCCAACTGTAAATGGTGCGTTTTCAGGGATTAAAAAATGTTCTTGTCAGAAATGTCAAAATCAAACCTGACAATTTTGTGGCAAGAATGTTATTAAGTGTTGTAAGACGACAACCCCCTCATAGCCCGAAGAAGTCTTCGTTTGTCCCTGCTCTGTGGGCCGTGTGGATGGCCCCAGGCGGGGCAGGGAGGGCAGCCCAGGGGCTCTTCTCTGGTGGGAAGCTGGCTTCCTCCTTTCCTTCCGCTTGGAAGGTGCTAGCAGACACTGACAGGGGCGAGAGCTGCCTCAGGACCTCCGTTCGTGGCTCTGCCTCGGGGGGGGGAGGAGGGCTGGGCCGGGCCCCTCCAGGGAGCTGCTCTGGCCCTCCTGCTCCATTCACAGCATTCACAGGGACTTCCCCTTCCAGGCCTCACATCCACCCTGGCGGTGGAGTCCCGGGACTTGAAATCTGCTCGCCTGGGAGGTTGGGGAAGAGAGGCTGACCTGGGAGGCCCTCTTTGCTCCGCTCTTTGCTGGGAGAGGGAGCTGGGAAGGGGGGCCCCAGGCCTGGGGGCAGGGGCCAGGGGAGCCCCAGAGCAGCGCTGGCTTGCCCAGGTTTTGGACGGGCAGCCGCCCTTGGGGGCCACCTCTTGGGAGCTGTACCTGGAAGGTTAAACCCCGCAACCCCATGGTGGCAAAACGGACCTCGGTCCCCGTGGGATGCTTAGGCCAATGCCCCGTCCGTGCTCTGCCACCCCCAAATGTGCACTGCCTCCTTTGGGCTTAGGGAGGTTGGGATGTGTGTGTGTGTGTAATTGGGAGCTGCACTTTCTAACACAAGGCAGCAGCCCTTTAGATGACGGGGGTTGTGTCATTGTGTCCAGTATGAATGATCCCCTGTGGAAGTGTCACTGGGACCAGCTTCGGCCTCCCTGTGGGGTTTGGCTGCTTGTACCCGTGTCAGAAAGACGGGTTTCCACTCCTGGCCCTGAGACGCTTCCGCTGTCTTCCTCTCCCAGCTCTTCCAAAAGTGCTGCTTGGTGCAGAGGATCCTGGACGCCTGGGAGGCCAACGACAAAATCCAGTAAGTCTCTGAGGGCCCAGGGACCCCGGGGCTCCTCTCTGCGTCCCCCCCGTCGTCCCCCAGGCCTTTTCAGCTCAGGTCTGGCTCGGCTCCCTTCGGGGGAGGGGAGGCGTGGCCGCGGCCCCCCCCGGCCCGCGCCGGGCCCGCCCCTGCCCCGCCCCCTCCCCCCCCCCCCCCCCCCCCCCCCAGCAGAGACCAGAGGTGAGATGGATGCTGCTTTTGGGCTTGGGCTTCTCAGTGGCCGTTGCTCCTCGCTTTGGCTTTTTCAGGGCAGGAGGAGGGATGAGGCGTGGCAACATGGGCCACCTGACCCGGATCGCCAACACCGTTGTGCAAGCTGTGGAGAAAGCGCCCCCTGGGCACAGCCAGGCCAGGGAGTTCATCATCAGAGGTAGGAGGTGCCAAAAACCTGCCCGGCCCAAGCGGGGGGTGGGTCGGATGGGGGGCAGGAGGCCCCGCAGGCCTGATCGGAGGGAGGGAGGGAGGGGTCCCCTCTGGAGTGAAAGGGGGAGGGCCAGGGGAGAGGAATGCTGCCCTTGCAACCGAGGTCCGATGCTCAGAGGCGTCTTGTTTGGGGTCCGGACTCGGCTGCCCGGCTGCACCTCCCCGACTCCCAGGCTGGGGCCAACGGGACAGCTTTCCGTCCCCTGAGCCCCGGCGTTAGGAAGCTGGGTTGTAATTCTGGGGTTTTTTTTTAAAATTTTTTTAGAATTATTTATCTTACGTGGTTTTGTGAGTTGCCCAGAGTTGCTCCAAAGCAAGATGGGTGGCAAATTAACTTCACAAATACATAAGTTGGTGGGTGGGTGGGTGGATGCCGGGCAGGACCCCCTTCAGGCGGCTTGGTCCCGTGCCTGGCCCCAGCGCCTGGAGTGGGCGGGAGGGCTGAAGGCCAGCCGATCCTGGCTCAGTCCGAGAGAGGCCAGAGGCGAAACCCCAGCGCTCAAGCTCAGCGGCCCAGGCGGCTGCAGAGCGTTGGCGTCTCTGCGCACCGGAGGGCCAGCCGGCTTCTCTCTGCTCCCCCCCCCTCTGGCCCGCCCGAGGCCCCGGCGTGTGGCCCTCTCAGCCCTGCGACGTCTCCGTCCTTGCAGGCCTTCCGGAAGACTGCCGAGGCCGCTGGGAGAGCTTCGTGGAGGAGACTCTGGTGGAAGCCAACCGAAGAAACACTGTGGATTTGGTGAGGCCTCCTAGCGTTCTGCCATTTTGAACCGGGGAGGGGTGGGTGTGTATCTGTGTGTTGGAGCTGAGGAAATGTAATGGAAGCTGCCCCAAGAGGCGGTGAGGGAAGGAAGAGGCGGCCCCTAGGGGTGGCCAGCTTTTCCCTCCCGGCCGCTGGACTCCATCTAGGGTCTCTCCTCTGTGCAGGTGACGGCCCACCACCTGCACTCCTCCAGCGAAGACGAGGAGGCCAAGGCCGCCTTTCCCAGTGAAGTCTCTCTCCAGCAGGTAGCTCCCTCTGGGGGGGAGGGCTCCCTTGGCCAGTCCCTGCTCCGCTGGCTCGCTTCTGAGGCCATTCCGGGGCGCCCCCGGTTCCATCTTCGCTCGTGGCCTTGGGGAGAGCTGGCAGGCTCAGGATCATCTTGGAAGGTTTAGGGAGTCAGTTCTTGTGTGGAAGGTGAAAGATGGGGGGGGGCAGGTGGGCCAGGGGGCTCATTCCGGGCCCCTCGTGGTCCACCAGAGCCTCAGGTGTGAGCCCCGCAGAGGCTGCCCCTGCATCATAGTTGTAATGGTGGCAGAAGAGCCTCCTAATTTCCGCTGCCTATTCAAGGTCACTTGCAGCCTTTTGAAGAAGAGCAAAAACAAGGGAGAAAACTGTGCTGAGCTGGGGAGGTTCTCCCGCTTGCTGGGGACGGGTTGCCTGTGGGGCTGAGCCTGGAGAAGCGCATGGGGCACCTTTTGGGGAGGGCTCTGCTCGCTTTAGGCTCGACCCATGGACGGGTTTGGGGGTTGATTGACTCCTCTTTGAGGAAGGGCACGTCTGCCTCAAAAAGGGGGAGGGGGGGCACAGTAGTTGATTGGCGTCTCTAACCTTCCCTTTATGGGGGAGATGGGCCCCATCGGTCCCTCTGGAGGTGGCAGGGACCCACCCCACGGAAACGGCGGCTGCTTCAGCAAGGACACCCCACGGCTCCAACTTTCTGTTTTATTGGCTTGCTTGCTTGCTTCCTTCCTTGCGCATTACTTGTGTCCTGCCTCTACTGTGCAGCCGACACAGAACCTCTGTGAGATGCAGCCCTTCAGCCGCCCCCCCCCAAACCTTTAGCAGTGTTTGGGGTGCCTGGTTGTGCATCGTATGTGGGGGGGGGGTTGGATTAGGTCTGGACGGAAGGGCCCCCTGGGTGTGTTCTGACCAGACTCATCGCCTGTCCCTGTGGTTTCACTGGGGGGGGGGGGGGGGGCCGCCCCCCCCCACGCCCCCCCCCCCCCCCCCCCCGGCCCACCCCCACCCCGGCGCCCCCCCCCCCCCCCCCCCCCCCCCCCCCTTGGACCCAGATCCTCCTCCGAGCTCCCTTGAGGATCCCATCAGGGAGGCTCCCTCCGGCCCCTTCCCTGACTGCCCTTTCATCCGGGGGGAGGCATCGGACCCCCCTC